TTCTAGAATATTACGACACAGCACTTGTAACAAGCATAAACCACACAAAACTAGTATAAACATTCAGGCGTAGACAGTTTCCTAGGCGAGACACAAAGTGGATAGATGTTTCAAGAGAAAGTAACCTAAAAACACGTCGGCGTTAGTTTCTGCGTGCATAGAACACTGTTGGTAAAATATTTTTCACACAATGGGCGTTTACGTAATGTTACTTACTGTCCATCAATCATGCTCACATCTTACCAACAGATTTATAAGAACATTCCCGTACTCGGAAAACCTTTTCCGAATATATTAAAATAGGACTTGACGGCTTCGTAGGTCTCTCTAGCTGCCGTATGTCAGTTTGGGTAACCTCGTCGGATAACGCATTATTAAGTTAGCAATTTTATTAGATCTGCTATTGTATGCTGTTTCGAGTACAGAATCCTATTTATTGAAATGTAACTTGTACAGTCCTTGCCAAAAGTCAGAGTCCTAAATGTCCTATCGACCAAAAATATAAAAGGCGACGTCAAATCAACTATCATCTCAAAGTAGTAAATTGACTATACCACAGACATGACCTAATACATTTTATACAGTAACTTAAAACTGCTGAATTAACCGAGTTAGTCACGTACGAATATAACGAACTCAATTTTATCATCACAATCTTCGGATACTGAAATAGGTTATTAAAGTAAGTGTATTTGCGTATAGCAGTACTTCTCTAATTAAATCTAAGAGCCTTCGCTACTGGTTTGGGGTTAAACTAATTTCATAAAAGATGGAAGTTAGTAGTAACCTTAAAGTAACGAACTAAAGTTATATGAATACGTTAATTGAACATAAATCGCGCCTGTTCTATCGTAGTCTGTCTTAAAAATATTTGCGATTAATCCGCTTCATACCAGTCTCATTGTGTTGACGCAAACACGTGTTTTACGGCCACTAAAATATAAAAGCAATGTGAAACGTTAACATGCATTAAAATATTCTTAACATCGGATGTTACCACTGGACTTCATTGCATATTTGCCTCTGTCCATGTGTTTGATCGTCAAGTAACTAATGACTAGTACCGCCCGGTCCAATGTTTACTCTAACAAACAGGTTATATTTTTATACAATGCAATAAATATGTTATCGTAATTAACAATGTTTATGTGCTCAACACTGCTTAATTAATTATCGCAGATATTCTGCTGTTTTATCGTTGCACATGCATGTGCAAGCGATTTTTTTTCTAACTATTTCGTTGAGTCAATGTGCGCGTTACAATATACACACATACTATGTGTTGCAGCACAGATTAATAAGATACCATTAGCAGTTCTACCTAGAAACCAGGTATTAAATCAACGGGTACGTCACTAGAACAACCTATTATTAGAATTAGAACAATGGACCTACCTCTAACACAAAGCTGGTGATCATGATACCAGTGTGAGTAGGTACTTACTGCCTACCATGTAGCTTGTACATAATGCAGTATACAAGTACATCTAGATTCTAGTCATCCTTTCAATCCGTTTTTTAACCATCCACAAGTATGAGAATCTGTTCGTGAGTTCATTAGTAAGTGCACGACTAGTTTCTTCATCTACAATGAGGCGATTTTCTGGTTTGACGGGGTGTGGCGCAACCTGGGAGAGGCCTATGACCAGCCCGACTACACTGCGATAGACTGGGATGCGTTCAAACACTATAGTATATAATCTAACTCGTATCTCAAAAAATAGCCCCATATGTCCCAAGGACTCCATAAAGACTTTCTTGTTCAACAATAATTCATGAAACCGACAGAGATACAACGTTTAATACGACTTAAAATTTTTCATTTCATTTCGGTATTCGTGATATGTCACATTTAGCAGTAAACACCGGATTTCATATAAGAGACATTTTGGCATTCTGTAACCTTTAATATTCCTGTTTGTCAGATGAAATAATGAAAGTCATTTGAACTGTTTCAAAATGAAATATAATTTTACGTGAGACAATAATAGCTGACGGCTGCCTAACTTGAACGGTATTAGATAAGTAAGAAATGAAAATAGAAGGTTCCTTTGAATCAGCCTCGAAAATTTCATTTCATTTCGTTTGACGAACATTGTAAGGCTTTTAATTTCATAAATATCGTGATACCTACAGTGTTTTTAGTTCCTGTATTGATTTTTTGAATATAAACCGAAGTAAAAAAATATTTCTTCTTATAAGCAAAGGTTGATGTAATGTTTTTGGTGACAAAAACAAAAAATGTAGTCTCTGCATTTTAAATGAAACATCCCGATGTTTTAAAGTTTTACGCACGTTTATTAAGATAAATTAAATGAAAATGTAGGTTTAAATAACTAGGTAAGTAGAAAGCTAATAAAAACTGTAGATAAATACGAACTAGAAGATGCATACGCTCATGGAATAATTGTTATAACGAGCGCATAATAAACAGTCATTACAGAACAGTTAATTGTTAACACGATTAAATACGAACGAGGTTTTTTATGTTATCTGTATACATTGCAGGCAATAAATAGGTTTTATATCAGAGTGCAGAATAGTTTTATGGACTGCGTTGCAGTGTCGAACACTCGAGATATGCCTCACATAATTTCAATTACTTGATGCTATTTATATGCTGAAGATAAACATGGTAACATGCATTTGTCCGTGGCAACAGAGTAAATAACACAACTGATACAGCCCAGAAAATACGAAACGGTTTTTGACGTGAATTATTATGTTACCAACGGTTTAGAGAAAGGTTTTCGCGTATGAAATGTGAATTTACGACAAAAACGAGACGCGTAAAAACGATTTTAGTGGAACTAATCGCTGCTTCTCTACTTACGCGACGTATCAGTTTTTGTACAGATATACAAGCAAAAAATAATATAATGCGTTGACGAATGGGCCTTAATAGTTGTCTATCAGTTGCCCAGAGACATTTGGCAGGTCGGCGATTAAAATCTCTCCATCAACATGCAAAAAAAACGCTATAATGGACGTTTCACCTTATCAGACCTGCTTAAATTCATTACTGTTGTCTAAGAGTGTAGTAGTAACTTGTCATCATCGTTATTTTCGATCGAATTATAGTTCAATTGCATTACTATCTGTAACGAAGCATAAATTAAATAATCACCGGCGCCCTATTGCCTCCCGTCGAAATATCAAATTCAATGATGAAAGCGGCTTCTAACTTAAGCAAATAGGCACATTCCCCTCTATTAGGGGCCGATGAATAACTTACAATTTTATTATGCCGACTGTAGGTACTTTCACCACTTTCATAATTCAAAAATTATTAAAGGTCTCTCGCAATCAAATTCTTATTATTCTCTGGAGTCCGGAGGGTATGGGTATGGCGTGGCATAGCCTGATCACCACTATTCTCCAGAACATCAAAGGGCCCATGTTTATAATTGCAAATGTGAATTGTTCGTAAGATTCAGGATAAATCGGTCCCGAGTACCATGAACCTAGGGAACTGGCTACGTTTTGTTACTTTAATGAAACGAGAATGACTGCCTGGCTAACAAGTTACCGGTTCTAAATTCCTATTCAACGCGAGTAAATAACTATGTAGGCGAAATAGTATGTCACGTAGACTGGCTTTGTTTCGCAAATCGTCCTCGTTTAGCGGTGCTGGCTGGTGGTCGAGCTCGCGTCGAGCCACTCGGCCTAACCAAACACGGCGCGTAAACATGCAGCGACGCAGCGACCTACAGGTAGCCGTGATGACGACGGAGGAAGATCACTAGCAACGTGACGTAACGGCAGCCAGCGCCCTGCCGGCCGTGGCAGTGCTGCCAAATGGGTTACGAGCGTCATCCGCCCCACCCGTCTCATTACGATCATGCACTCTTTCCCTTGCCGACTAGACGGCTGCCAAGGTCACTGCGCCACGCGATAAACCACCGCGCGCCGGCACCCGCCACCGGCACACGGCGACCGCATACACACCCGACTTCTAACTCACTTATCAATAAAAATATAAACACTCACCTGTTTTTTTCCAACTCGTTATGAGTGGTCCTGGAACAGAAAACATACGATATTGTACGACACGCCGACACTTCACACATAACACCACTGAGATCACATATTATCACTGCACTAGCACTACACCGGCCGCAACTCACCTGCTGCCCTGCGATTTCTTGGTCTTCGGCCGCCTGCCGCCGGAGCGGGACTCTTCGTACGCCGGTAAACTCGACGCGTATCCGTGCTCAGCTTCTGCAACAAAGTACACTGCCATTCCGTCAAAATCAGCTGATTATAGCACGGCAAAAATAGACGGGAGCCATGTTGACGTGTGCGTGTAGTTGCACTCGATTGACAATTCAAACAAAGAAAATCCAAATCACCTCTATCGCGCCTTTCGATGTATTCAGCAGCTTGGATCAGAGCAGCAATACTCATATTTATTGTATCCCGGATAAGCACAGGTATTCACAAACGCAAAGCGACTTTATTCGATTTAAACTATAAATAAAAGTATCTATGCGCTCCGAAGTTCACGACTGCGTTTACCGATGTCAAAAACACACTAGGCGACTTGGGACGCGCGACCGTGTAAGCGGTTCGTGATTTGTCGGCGGCGCTCGTGCCCCGCTCGGTGGGCCAATCGCGATGCAGCAATGCCCACAATAAAATACCTGGGTCAATCACGTGAACTTTGTGTTTCCAAACAAAACATTTTTTTTCTATGCGCGCTCTTTGTAGTGTAGTTGGATATTGAAGAACTTTTATTTTCTTGAATAATTTGTAATGCATGTCGATTTCGCACTGAAGTGCACACACGGCATTGAGTCGGCTTCCTCGTAAATCAATGTTATAAACATAAAGTTCGCCACCCATTCTCAAATAAATTAAAATTGTAAGCGTTTGATAAATGCCGAAAAAAGAAGTAGCATTTAAGAATTTCATATCGCATTAATTTGTATTATTAATTTAAAATATATTCTAATAGGGTAATTTAAATTCTTAAATACCAAGTAATAAAAGATTATGATTCACATTTGGGAAACACTTTTAATATTTAAAATGTTCAGACAGGTCTTGAGTGTTTCATTTAATATTTTCAGCATATGGATTCTAGCAAATATTACTGGAAGCAGATGTTTTCTGGGCTCCTGGAAAGAGGAAAGGCTTTCTCAATTTTATTAGAATCCAATTTGAAATTAGTAATCTATTTGGATTCTTGTTAGCAACTTATTGGGTGCAAAAATAAGTACATTGAACAGTTTATTTTTTAATTAGATGATGCTTCGTTTTTCTTTATCATTGTAGATTAATAGAATTAAAATGCCAATGAACGAAAATTCCTTATCTAATACAAAATTCTTACAATGAATTACCCAATATAATTGAGAATGGCATTTGACAAATTGCTATTGCACACAACAATTAATTCTGTGAGCGCAAAAACAGAACAAAAGGTATTTGTGTTCTTACATAGTGTATTTGAACAGTTTTTACACTGCAAACATGTCTAACAATATTTGACAACAAAATTACATTATTATGCTGTAAATGTCTGAATAATTTACACATTTATTCTGTTTTTGATCTTATGTCTAGTTCTTTACTTACCACTAGAATTCTGGTTTTCCTATAGTACTGGCTGAATATTCTGACCATAGAGCAGAGGTAGCTGCATATCTGATGTGGTCGGAATTCACAGACTCGGTTATTGAACTCCACACTATTGTTTAGTAGTGATGGTAATCCTAGTATGTAGTTGAATATTAGGTGCCATTCATCCTGTTACAAATAAAAGTATTTTAGTTTGTTACATTGCTATAGTAGTGAATAGGAAGATTTTCAGTGGATTATCTAATTTTGAATGCAATAGTTTAATAAGGAAATAATTTAATAAAATAAAAAAGCCTGCAATTCTCTCAATACAGTTTACAAAATTTGTTTCTTAGTATATATTAACTAAATTGCTTGTTTCTCATTAAGGAAATACCTAATCAAAATGTATTTATAGGACATTTACTTAAAAAAGTTTCTTATAGGTCTATTCTTAACCTTTCTTATTGTGTGACATTCTTATAAGAAAACATGATATATCTATACACAAATGTATTTGAATGCTACAGTATGCCATACCATGCCTTGTCTGTCAATCAGTATACATATTCATATTTGAAATCATCAACCTGATGCTACCTACTATGATATAATAGCATAATACTAGTGGAACTTAATTCTATTCTAAAAAACTGAAGCCAGACCATTACCTCATGGACCAGCAATGAAAAATCAACTTCATTGAACGGAGGTAACTCTGGATATGTTCCATCAGCAACTTTGTCATTGTATGTCCTTATTATAGTCTCTAGACGGGCACAATTGTACAATATAAATGATGCACCTGAAACCAAAATTAAATGTAATGTATTTTTTATTAGTTCATGTATCATTGATTGTAAAAATGTTAATGCAAGGTCACTTTGGATTAAATTGAAATGCAGTACAAGTTGAATAAGCTAGACTGAATACATGTATTATATCAATATTTGACTGACATTGGTTTTGAGTATTAATAATAATGTCTTGGAATAAACTTCTTATTAGCTATTATTACAATGTAATAGCAGTAAGTATGTATTAGAGAGTCCTTAAAACAATTCTAATGAGAAAGAATGGAATAAGAATATGAGCATCTAGCATAGCTTGAAACTAGTCGTAAATAATTAATGTGAGTAAACGGAAAACATAATAATTAATTTAGTATGTCTCACGAAATTATAATAATATAGAGAAAGAATCAGTTAGTAATTCCTAAGGTACTTTTTTATCAAAGAATATTCACCTTTACTAGATCCAGCAGAACAATCAAAATTGATCTTGACTGCACCACTAGGTTTTGTTTGTAGTAATTCAAAAGAAGCTGCAGACTCCCCCAAATGTGCTAGGAACTCCTTCCATTTTGTATCTGTGGATACTCTCACTCCATACTTGTGTTGTGCTATGAGGGTCATTTCATCTTGTCTTAACCTGGAATTTAAAAAAATAATGTCATTATTGGTGTTTAACAAAGTACTTTAAGACTGAATGATGGAATAACGAAAAGGAGGAAATGCTATTTTATTATGAAATTACTTTGTTAACAAATCATGTTAATTTGAAACTCGATACAATTACAATAATGTAACACAGTTAAAAAAAAATGATATTTACCTAATAAAATCATCAGCTCTTATGACAACTTCTTTAGCACCAGTTTTAGAATTTAGTACTGTCCCACAGAGCACTCTGTGGCATCCCTCACATGTGGTAGAAGACTTCGAAGTGACTATTACAGGTGAATTTACATTGCTCAGTGTACACAAGTTCTTTACGACGTTACAAACGTATTTCGCACGCAAGGAGGTTAGGTCAGATTCTTTATCGCAAGAAGAATCTAACTGAACATCTGATACACTTCCATTTAACTTCTCTGATAACACTGCATTATTCCGCAACCCTTCCGCCAAGCCCGCACGAATAGCTTTAGGTCGGTCTAAAAACAAATAAATACGCCCTTTCTCCTCCTTCGCTTTCTGCACAGCCAAATCCCACTTTTTAGATTCATTTATGATATCTTTACACTCTTTACCAATTGCTTGTAACAATGTCAGACTTTCGTGATCAGCTTCTTGATCACAATTTACATATTCATGCCAAGATTTCAGCGAATTAGGAAAACTATAATCGCCATGGGTATGAAAATTTTCATTATGTTTCTTCACTAGAAGGCTTCGTGGGTCTTTTGACTTTTCCGTCAAGTATAAAAAAAGTTTGTCTGAAAAATTATTTAGCGCACTTTCTATCATTTTATTCAATTATTCTATAATATTACAAAATGTATTGCAGAAAAAATGCAAATTGCAAACACGTGTGACAGTTTTTGACAGATTGTACTACCTAGCTGTCAGTGTCACTGTTGTCAGTTGTCAGACTCCATAATGCGATAATGTCACAGTCACGTTCTGTTATTTTCCACTTTTTCACTAACTCGGTTGACCGAATTCTTAATGTATTTCTGCAGGTCAAATTCAAATTAATTTTCACATTCACATTTGTATTTTGTGCATTAATTATTATTATGATTAAATTATTATTTACAACTTGTCTTCTTTCAGTTGCCATAAAGAAAAAAAATATTTTTCTATATAAATAAGCTACGTTGCCTATGACGTTGACAGTTTGCGTTTAGTAGTTATTGTCATTTTGACAATCAGTCGTGTTGGTATCGTAGCATATTTTAAAATCTCTAAATTATAATTTAATATTATATAGTTGCTAGTCACAATTAATTGCATTTATAACATAGAGTATGTGTTAATATAAAAATGAATCTTAAATACAATTACTTCTTCTTTGTCTGTGTAACATGGCAGTTCGCCGTGGTCTCATCAGCGGATCATCTGCTTGAAGGTATTTATTGTGGAAAGGAGAACTGTTACGAAGTACTTGGTGTCACAAGAGAAGCTACTAAAAATGAGATTGCTAAAAGCTACAGACAACTGGCCAAAAAATTTCATCCTGATTTACACAGGACACCCGAAACTAAAAAGGAGGCCGAAGAAAAGTTTAAAGAAATAGCAACTGCGTACGAGATCTTGCGCGATGATGAAGAAAGATCTGACTATGATTACATGTTGGATAATCCGCAGGAGTACTACGCTCACTACTATAGGTATTACCGTCGCCGTATGGCGCCGAAAGTTGACGTCAGAATCGTGATCGCCGTTACTATTACCATTATATCGATCATTCAATACTATAGTGCATGGTCCAAGTACGATACTGCTATTAAGTATTTCATGACAGTGCCAAAGTATAGAAATAAGGCTCTAGAATTAGCCAAAACTGAAATGAAAGAAGGTCAATCTAAAAGTAAAGGTCCAAAGAAATCAAAAGCTGAACAGAAAGTGGAACAGGATCGACTTATTAGGAAGGTGATTGAGGAGAAAATGGATATCAAGGGGTCTTATGCAAAGCCAGAGATAGTAGACATCCTGTGGGTCCAACTCATCATTTTACCCTACACTGTTGCCTACTACATTTACTGGTACCTGAGGTGGTTCTGGAATTTCACATTAATGAAGCGTCCATATGGAGAGGAGGAAAAACTATACTTAATCAGAAAGTACATGAAGCTTGGACAGCATCAGTTCAATGCTATAGAGGACTCAGAAAAACAAGAGTTCTTGGATGAAGAGCTTTGGGTAAAAGAAAACTTCAAAGTTTGGAAAGAAATAAAAGATGAAGAAGCCAAGAAAGCTCTAGCAGAAAACAATAAATACAAGCAGTACAGAAGGTACATCAAACAACATGGAGTCGGCAGGATGACGTTTGACGATTCATAGCCGTGTGATAGTGGAAATATTTATTTAATATTTATTAATAAATTTAGGATCAGTCCAGGTGTCGCATTTTGTTATTATCTATCTACTTATCTTTCTTTTTACTATTCTTTTAATTAAAGCAACCAAAAATTATACACAAAAAATAAAACAATTTTTTTACACAATTTGTTACTTTATTTCTTTTATCTCTATTTGTCTCAACATGTACTAAGATGATTTCAATACAATTAATCATACAACACATTCATAACTTACAATCATCACAAATGGCAATTTGTTAAGGCATACTACACACTGGGTGCTCACACAGACACAAGACTTGTACAATCTCACTTGTCTTGTGACAACCAGAACATGGATCAACGTCCACATGTAAACAACATAAAACTGTGTTCCTCACTTATCAAGACAAATCAACATCGTAATACAAAACAAAATGAGATCCTTAGGCTGGTTTTCGTCTGACGCTGACGGCACGCGCACCGCGCTAATTCTCGAGATATACGAACTTCTAGGAAGCGTTTTTCAATGACGCGTGATGATGTGCGCACGGTTCTTGGAAGTTGATATATCTCGGCTGTCAGCGCGACTTAAACCAGCCTTAATTACAAATTATAACGCAGTGACCGCAAATCAAGCAATCATATTGCATTGGCAGTGCTTCTGGCTCCTAGACATACTTTTACCCACAACTCCAATTATAAAAATGAAAATTTCGGAATGTAAAACACACATCACTTTTACAGCTGCCAACATTACACGCTTTTTTTCAACTAATAACGTAATAGCCACCTTTATTATTTGTTTGTAGGCGATCGATCACAAGCAATACAAAATCATTTGCAGTTATTATATTATACATCATATTCTTATAGGAAGACATCACAAAAAGAAATTAAATAAAAAATCAATATAATGTCAAAATAACTTGGTCATTGGAGTTAAAGTTTAATTATTACGTAACTAAAAATAAAACAAATTGCACAGTCGACTGACGCTATCGGAACCGTAGTGAAAGTCTGATTAGTTTCGACAGCATTGCGTCCGTCGACCGCCTCGCTACTTGACTACGAAAAAAGGGAAAATCTATTGTTCGATGTTGTGCTGAAATATGTGCTAACTACAAAAATAGGTATCAAGTAATTTTGTTATAACTATTTAATTTAGTTCGCACCTGAGTAAACAGTTCGACTAAAACAATATAAGAACTCACATTAACCATCATTTCTGACTCAAGCAAACATTTACCCATTGTACTTTAAAATAAACAACTAGTAATGTGTTCAGACATCTTATCGTCTTACAGTAGTGTGCATTGATAGGTACCTCCAACAATTTGTACAATAATTCAGCTCGATATATATTAACTCAGTTTTATAATATGGTCTTTGTCTAATTCGTGATTAGATAAACTTTACAACGGAACTGTCCAACGCCAAACATGGTTGTACACTATTCTCTATCTTATTATGGTAATAAATAAGATTGAAAATAACTTGAACATTTGGACAGTTTCGCAACTCTATGGTAACATGCTATTGCTTTTTAAGGCCTGCTCGTTTTAATTTGTGACTTATAGTTTAGTAGACATAGTTCATTTTATTATGAAAGTAACGTAGAGCCGCTGAAATAGCTGCAAGTGCTACGTAATATAATAACTATTATTTGATAACTTATTTACCAAAGTATTTAAAACGCAATTGCAGTGTTCCCAGCGGCTTCACACTTATTGTCCACTCGACAAGTTTCTTTACAACAAATGTTCATCAGGTACATCAATATGTGGCGTTTCAATAAAAGAAATCTTGTGGAGTTTGACAAGGATGGATGATATTATTACAGGAATCATATCTGTAGCATTCCCTTGAAAAAATCACAGTTTTATACAAGTATCAAGTAAATATTTTCCTCATAAAAATAGCGGTAAATAACCAGTACATATTTATTAATAGACACAATACAAAAGCGAAATATCAAAAACATCATCAACGTGCATTTGTTTACAAAGCTACCTGATAACAGCGACCTGCACTTACTATCAACTGACAAAGATAATACATAAAAATAAGTATACAGAAAAACAAAGTAACACAGTCCACTTATAGAGAAACTTAATTCCCAGCTTCTCAAACGTATTGTCAGAAAAAAATATTATTACAATGACTTACAGATTAAATGAGCTATTTTACGGCAGTGCCGATGTCGGATAAAATAAGAAATATAGATAAATACAGACATATGAAAATAATTACATATATTTAAGCTACATCTAAATCAATAAAACTGTGAGATTTAGAAGGCAAGTATTTCTTCCACATCATGGCCACTAAGAATCGAATAGAATACATATTTTGTACACACAATTTTCTCAATTCTTTATACACGTACATATTCTTTCTATAATGTATTTACACAAAACATTTATTGAAATATAACCTCTCGTTTTATACTTTTATTGGGGACAATACGACGCCATATTATTATCGAATCAATATTTAGTTACAATATGTCTATCTACATAAATAGTATACACAAAATAATGATTCTAGTCTTTTTTCAATGTGCTATTTCGTTTCAGATCATATAAGCTATTCCTTATTAAAAATCATTGTTTACTATGTCGGGGAACATCGTACTTTGTAGTTATACATCAATATAAATGTTCAAAGTAACGATGGCTCTCAGACGTGTAAATAGTTAAATGGGCTGTCATTCTATCGATTCAACAGTCAATTAGTCGATTTATCGATTTAATTATTATGCATTAATTATTATTATATGAGGGTAAGATTTGATGAACTCATGTTGTCTCGCTACAGCTATTCTAATTAGTCGATTAAAAATAATTTAGTCGATTTGTCAAGTACACTATGACTTCAAGAAATCTTTAACTGAATATTTAGATTGTATTATATTTATCTTATCACTATAATCGAATTATTAATCTATAATTCGTAAGTGAAAGGAGTAATATAATCGACTATTGAATCGATGGAACTCACCAAAACATCGACTCACGCAACTCCAATCTTCCAGCTCAAGCCACATCACTTCACACAACTTACTTCCTGTAATAAGATCTACATAATAATATACGATATGAACGTTCGACTTTGTATCCTACAGTCCTCGACATAGAGTTCGTTATTGAGGTAGCCAGGTCCGACGAGCCCGGCTCAGTCTGGTGAACCTTATGCCGTACTAGTTAAGGTGTATTTTGCACTAGCGGCGCGGGCGTTTGTTGCGCGGACGCACCGCTACGTGCAAGGCCCGGCCTCACACGGGCGTCTCGTGGTCGGCTTCCTCTATCCGGCCCAGGCGCCACGCGTTAGGGTCTGTCGCTGTCGAATTGAGAGAATCAAGTGTTAAAATTCTGATACTAACATTCTCGTTTACACTTACGACCTATTATTATGAACATAACCTGACACCAAACCCCCAAAAAATAGATCACACTGCAAATCGTAATGTGTAAACGAAATTTAAGTGTTGCATGATCAAAATACGCATGTCAATAGAACGTTTTTGAATCTTGACATTGGTATTTTGTGCATAATATTGGTAATATTCAAGTAGGTTCACCTCACAAATGTAGCCAACATTCACACAAGCTAGAACACCACGTAATACCGTGTTGTGCACGTGTCGACGACTGTTAGAGACGGTACACAAAACATAAACACTGACTGTGTTGCCAGTTTAAAAATATAAAACGTTTAGTCTGAAATTTACTTTCAAATCGTTTATATATGTGCTTTTGTATAAGCACATTAATACTGTGTGAATTATTTCAGCACAGTTACAGTAATATCTAAATAAAAAATAATACACCTGTCTTTGAAAATCAACTCTACAGCTAGTAGTTAAAGTACATTTCAGACTACATCACATGTAGATAACAAATTGGCAGTTATGTATAACAAACAAAAAGCGCAACTTCAAGCAATGTGTGTTGTGTGGATGTAAACTAGCAAATGTGACAAAATATTGTAGTTTTAAGCCAAAAACAAAACTTCAAAGAGTTAATCATGTAAGCGTGTCCAAGCTCTTGACCAAGAGGGCTTAAAAATACAATAGAAGCTAAATCCATTAAGGCATTATTTAAAATAACAAAGGTCCAATGTATTGCAAATATGTGTTAGGATTGTGGCAACATAATTATTATATTGATGATTTTTAGGGACATGAAAAAAGGTTTTATTTGGCCAGCAGATAAAAAAATTACAACATTCTAAATTTAAAACTTAACAATGGGACACACCACTCTTTAGCGGGGAATTTATGTGTATTTTTGATTAATGTTTCGAATGATTAAATACTCGAATAGTCTGTTAAACATAATTTGACTGTAATGGGTATAGAGCACAGAAAGTCAAGTTTCTTTGACTATACATTTTTTTGCCATTTAGTTATTTTTTTTTTTCTACTAGCCACATAAAACCCAAAACACATAGTGATGTTGAATGAGGAGTGAGACAAATAACATAAAACAAAACTTTACCTTGAATTGTCGATCTTCCAATCATGCTTTAAGAGTTCGGACATAGGATGGGACTACGGGAGTGTTATAGCATTTATAGCTTATACATACAAACTACATATAACTTACATATACATACTTAGCAGATAAAGGTAACAACTATTATTAAAGCATACAGTTATTGGTCAGGGATTTGAAAACACATTCTTTTATTTTTATGATACAATTTTTGGTCTGTGGTACGAGTCTTTTGAGACGCCCTTTTTGCTATATGTTAGAAAAGGGTAGGAAAAATTCATTGGTACTGATATTACTAAATGCTTTACAATAGTTTAGTTTTAGTTACAATTGCACGTACCGATGGAAATTTAAAAAATAAAAGAAATAAATGTCTATCAATATTAAACCACTATAGAATTAAAAGAGATCTCTAAGGTTTAGGGCCTTTGTGGAGCCAAAATTTCATATAAAAAAATATGTCTGTGTTTTCTCATCCCGGCCATTCAAAATTGAATCACATGCACCAACATTACAATACCATACTCAATTATATGAAAGATATGTAAATATGAATCGATTACTAGACTAGTCACACACTTAATACTCAAATCAAAAGAGGTTACACATGCGAATATTACTTATACATATTACTCATATATTATTAGGTACTCTAGGCACTAAATCGTCTAAAAAACTATTCGACCAATACAATTTAAACCTTATAGTTTAAAATATAAGGTTGATTATGCATCGAAACACGTCATACGTTGTACTTTTTTAATTCTATGCTATGAAAAGCTTACTGTTAAAGCGATATCAATAATTAATGTCATGATTGTTATCACAAGTCATTAAGATACATAATAAAATATTATAATTATGATTATTACATAAAAGGCAGGATGTGTAGGCAAATTTAATATAATTATTTCTATATTTTCTCTTATAGATATATGTAGGTAAGCATTCCATGCCAGAAAATAGAGCCAAGTAAAAGAAATATACAGGGACCGAAAGATAGGTCTAAGAAATGACTTAAACATATTAATTATCTTATTTATAAATGTGATATTAAAATATACTTTATGCAATATTCTATTACGGCTCATAATCGCCTGAAACAAATAAACAAAGGAATCAAAATATATGCTCAATTTAGTTACTCCGACATGGTAATTCAAAAGTGTTTTTATTTTACATATTAAACCTATATATAAAGCCTTAAAGTAGGTAGTATATAAAGGTAAATGAGCCCCATCACCACGCAGTTCCGTATACAAATGTAGAATATAATACATGTAATACATAATTATATGTGTATGTGATATGCAAGAAGTTTAAATGATTATTATTATATAATAAATACATTTTAATTAATATAATGGTATAGTATACGATTACAGTTATAAGATATTGATGAAAATTACTTTTTTAATTGTTTAAATCTGAATACTAGGCTTTTTGCGTATAACTTTTTTTTTATTTTAACTATTGGTAGTATAGGTATATTGGTAGTATAGGTATAATTTGATACTTAGTCTGTCTTTCATCAATAACTACTAAACTGTTTTGCATGAATATGGTGATTATATGGGAATGGAAATAAGGGAAGGATTTATTTTATGCGTCATGACTAACGATACTTTTGAATACTGCTGATTAAAATATGTAATTTTAAGAGCGTAAGGGAAGTACGCCAACTTTTATTTTGATTATGAATTACATTTATAACAAGAACTGTATTTTATTTTTTCTCTTTCTCATATTAAGAAAATCTTGTAATAAGTATGAAGCATAAAATCAAAGGGGAGGTGGGGTTACAAGCAGGTCTGGCAGTTTGGTAGCGGACAGTGGTGCGATGGGAGTGTATCGGAGCCTCAGGGGGGCGCGGCCGGCGCCAGCAGCGGCGCGTGCTCGTCTGTCGCCCGACACACCGACACACCGACACAACGCGCCGCACAGTACGCCGCACAGTACGCCACGGTACGCCACGGTACGCCACAGTACGCAGTACGCCACAGCACAGCCACCACCCGCACGTCATCGACACGGCACAACCACAACACCACACGGACGCGTTACGCATTGTCCTCTTTACAGCCTACACGCGATACATTCTCATTATGATAACATCAACATTCACAAAAAAGTTAATTATCAAAAAGTTCAAAAGAATAAGGCATTTACCAAGAAAGCTTTAAGCTCGACTTGGCAAGTGCACTACCGTACCCTTACGATATAGATTTTTAATACACGATTTATTCTCAAATACAATAAAATATAAGTTGATTTTAACACGACGAAATTGCATCGCGTATTCATTCATATTTAATTACTAAAGAAGTTATGTGCAAATTAAAAAAGAATATGGTTCGTGATTTATGATCTCTATAGAATATTAAACTAGCAGTACGATTAACTATAAAAGGGACTCCACGTACGCCTATTTAATTAGCTAACATCAAATAAAATAAATACCAAAGCATGTCAGCTGTTGCAATGTTAAAGATAGATTGGCGCCAAAACTAAGCAACTGTCAAAATTATAAAGATGGCGACTCCTTTGTCATTTACAATGGCGGACATACCACAGTATGTAAACATTAAATAAATAAAACACAAACGACCAATAGATAGGAGTTTTAAAAAGACAAATCATTACACACTATCGTGTTAATAGTAATAATTATCATTTGTAAAGGAATATTATAATTTGTTTTGTTTATCTTTTAATGATCTTGTCATTATGGGTATCTCGTGACTTTGGAACAATATCACCTGATCATCAAGGTGATCTGATGATGTTTTGATATTTTTGTTAAAACTATTTAAAGGTTTCAAATTAAATTACCTAATTTTAAATAGGTTTTGATTTTGACATGAGCATAATTATTAATTCTAATAAATATTTTATTTGAACCCCAATTTTATAATAATAATAATATTTGATTAGCTTTTTTTAATTATCTTTTTTTTCGTCTCATAAACGATAGTGTGTAACGACTCCATAGTATAATTTAAAATGACATTTACTACCTCGGATGGTCCTACACTAGCTATAATATTATCATGCATTATGAATGAAACGTTTGAGCATTTGTTTTGTTGCAGAAGCATTAATTAACCTTGCATTTGAAGACCTTTTCTCACTTCGTATAAAATCACAATCGCGGTCACACCTAAAATTAAAGATAGAATCCGATATCTTCCGATATAAGACTTCTGTTTTTCTATTCCATGTTTAAAACTGCAGTCACAGATTAAAAATACTTAAAAAAAAAAATAGATCATTAACCTAGCTAGCTTCCTTTACCAAATCAAATGCTCAAACCACCGTCTTCAAGTGAACACGAATCCATCAATCGTCCATACCTTGTAACTGCCGATTCAGCAAGGCGGTGATGCCAGGTCCATCACCCGCCTTCTTCACGACTAGCATGGGCTTGTCCTCGCCCTCCTCGTAGCTGTTCGGCAGGTGACCGTTCGAAACTGCCATCGTTTCGCTCACCTGAAGATTTGTGGTAAGATGGTGAGATTTTTCAAAGTTTGTAGTGTTTGAATTATCATATTAAAAGGTTTAATTTTATAGTATGAAACAGTGGAACGCCACAACTGTTTCCACCTTCAATATAATGGCTTGTTTAATAGTCAAAACTGAGTGTTAAATTATATCTGTGCACCTCAGCATAGCCCTTATGAAATTAAACGGCATTTTATTTCACACAACATCAAGTTTATTTAAGCAGTGTAGCTTTCAAATAAACCTAGTATAAACCTATAATTTCGCAGTATTTGGCAGGAAATTCACGATACCTAGAAATTCAAATTAGTTTGAAAAAAGGGAACGAAAAGCCCAAATCACACTGATTCTATTAGGATCGTAACTCGAGCCAGATGTGCTTACAGCATCCTTCCAACCGAGAACCTCATTTATGTAATCTAGGCACGTACAACAGAAAAACCTGCAAACAGTTTAGCGCCTAAACAAGTTCAGTAGGTTTTCGAATAAAAATGTTCAGGCGGCTTGATGAAATTTTGTCCAGAACACAAAAGCGAAATCCCACGAGAAATCAAAATAACACGAACCGATACCCGATCGCTTGTTTAGAACATAATGCAGCCGCTCTAGGGCCAAATGTGGGTCAACAGAATTTTCACGAAATACAACCCAGTACTATGAATAAATAATTTCTACGTAGTGGTCTGCTGTAAATTTGTAATAATACACTAGCACTATTATTTACGATGAGTATGAGCCATAAACTCCAGATTTTACGATGGTTTTACCAGTAAATTGTTTTACTGGCGTTACTTTATTTTTGTTCAAATTGACAGGTCCACATTAAATGTTAAACAGGCACTTTGGTTTTGCAAGATTAATTTCCAATCATACAATAAAAAGGTTGGTTAAAAGGGATAAAAGGATCGGATAAGCCTTCTCATCTGAAAACTCGATTTACAATGCAAATAAGTAACAAGCACTATTCAAAAATGCCTATCGGTTGAATCAGACTTTAGATCCTAGGATAAAAATGTAAAATAGGACGTATTTTACAACTGAGAACTTAATTTGAATATTTTGTTCAACCAATTACGTCGGAAATTACTGAAGGCATAAAAGCCGCTATTGCGCCATTTTTTTAATTATCGAGTTCAACATAACAATAAAATTAAGAAATTAAAGAAAGTAAATTAAAAGCATATTTTAAAAACACACACTGTGTGATTAAATATATGACTGGGTTTAAACGGAACCTGAAATAAGATACCTGTTAACCATAAACTGGCGTAATAGTCCAACGTATCTCCAATCTAAATAATGTTGTATTGAATACATACCTAATACCAAAAACGTTTGTTATATTACATTGAATTGGCGATGAAATTTAATTAAAAGTATGTTGTACATTACCTGCATGAGTTTATGAACAACGTCTCGACCGAGTATGTGATCGAAGACTGCTTGCAGGAAGGCGTCCGACATGATGGAGAGCTTCAGCTTGTCACGATGCCAGACCAGCACGCGAGACTCCTCCATCGCCATTATCGACACCTGTAACAGTGATGATGAAGAATTGTAATTTTTATGGTCCTTTTTGGCGCTGCAGTCGAAAACAAGGTGCTAATCCTTGTTGGACGAGTTAATTATTTCTTTATTAATGATCTTTGATTACTTTTGGAGAAAACAAGTCGTAATTACGTAACCAATACCTTTCTCATAGTAGGTATAAAGTTTAAAGGATTTTTCTAGTATGATTTTTTATTCCGCTTTAGTTACGTAAAGAAAAATTCTGGACACGTACTCCAATGTCATTTACACATATACACCTATCATGCAGATAAAACAAAACACAAATACAAGCTAAATCGTATAGCGCATATACAGGGTGGCGTGTCAGACGGTAAGTGGATCCGAAAAGCGGTAACGTCGCTCGAAACAGCACTTGAACGGGTAAAACGTACAGATCGTTTAAACTAGGCTATGTTACGAACAAAACGGGCCAGAATTGAATTTTTACTCCCATTACAAGCGAAGATACGCCGTCGAAAAACGTATTTCAGCAGAAATTGGCGTGATTTACCAAAGTGATATTGTGTCGTTAGGTAATCAGTGCTTCGTGTTAAATTGCCAAGCTTTTATCTTCTACCCTGTAGAAAAATGTCTCCAGGCATTTATTGAGACAACAACCCATTTTCTCATAGATAAAGACGTTCAGATATTCGACGTCTATTTATCAAACACGTAACTAAAAGTTCAGGGGTAGCCCATGATGCCTGAGGCATGGCTAGACATATATGAGGCTAAATATTGTTGTTTGTAAACTTTATATAACCCTCCAGGCTCGCAAACATTACTGTAAGCCTATAAATCAAGTTTTAATACACATTTGAGGTTTGAAGTTTACGCAAATATGGGATTTCTTGGGACATAATTTCTACCATTACACAGTGGTTACATTTCTATTAAAATGAAGAAGAGAAAAGGTTAATTAATGATGAACTTCCTGATACATAATAATACGAAATGTGTATAATTTACGAAACGTCACTTTTACTTTGCGCGCCCAATAGAACAGAACCCACGTATATTATGGTAATGGCAGGCTGAATGAGAGTGAAATCATGACTGGATCGTACAATAACGCATAAACGTATGCTTGGGAAGACAATAAAAGTAACATTTTGAGAAGGTTCGCTTTGTTGAATACTTGATAGCTGTGTTATTGGGAATTTTATTACAGTCGAAATATTTTATAAGCAACAGGCTTTTCCAATCACTTTAGGAAAAGTACAATGTTTGACGAAAATTGCACGTACTACTTACACATCATCTCAGCCCTTCTTTTTGAGTAATCTAAGCTAAGAAAAACCTTGTGTTGCATAAAACAGAAAAAAGTGCATTTAAGTCTAGTAAAATATGTGTACGTCTTATTATACCATTCCGTTACTTTACAGTCAAATAAACCTTCTGTAACCTCTCCTAATATGAGCAGAAAGGTCGCAACAGACACCCACCCAAGCTTAGGCGTGATTACAACACCAAAGCATACATTTTCATATGATATAATATACCTAGATATAGTACATTTCATAAACACGTATTGGATGGAAATAGGCCGCTTCCGTAGAACGTAAAGTATGTTATTTCCTCCAGATAAGGGAGTTAATGTAAAAAGTATTGTCGAGTTTTTGCTTAACTGTGCAGCTTTTAGCTTGGTAAATATCTTTATATATATATAATTCTTCTGTGAGTGTGTATGTCACTGAACTTCTCTCAAACGACTAGACCGATTTTGATGAAATTTATTGTGTGTGTTCAAGGGGATCTGGGAATGGTTTAGATTCACAAATCAGCCCGGCAGATGGCGCTGCAGTCGATGTTTTTATCCTAAACAGCTGAACTAATTTGAATGAATTTTTGTTTATACATGCAAGTGGATATGCAGGACAACGTAGGTTGGGTCCGCTAGTTACGGATAATATTTATCTAGCACGCCTGACGGTTAAAAATGTTATTCTGCTTTAATTAAGTCTTTAAAGTTTATAGTAACGGTTTGATTGATAATTTGTGTGCACTCTACACATGGCACGCCACTAACTGATTTTACACTTGTCTTGCCGAATCTGCTCAGATATCAGTAGTAAGAACACATGATTAGTTTACCACTCTCAATTTTAAATCTTATTCAAAGCTCTTCAAAGCATATTCTGCCTGCTATCTGCATAAACTTAATATAGTTAGATACACTTTTAACCTAGCTAGCTTAGACATTTTGCGCCCGACTTCGCGACCTATTTAATTATCCTGAGCCATATTTAGACTGAATGCCGTCATAGAATGAACTAGGGCTTTCTTATTCAAGATCCAAATATAGCCAGAACACAAACTGACCTCAAAGTCAAAGTCAAAGTCAAAATCATTTATTTCAATTAGGCCAGAATGGCACTTTTGAACGTCAACAAAAACAAAAATTTAAAGTGAAGCTATTTGCTCATTCCAAGGCGTAGATTCCTATGGAGAAGAACGAGCAAGAAACTCCATAGGTTACTCTTTTTCAATCAGGTTCACAATACAATTTACTAGTTACATAGTTTTGCTGTTTGGATTGTGCGAGAACAATGTAACACTAAAATCCAGTCAAAGTGATCAAAAAAGAAAATAACCTTAAGGACAGTAATACAGTCTGGAGCTGACCAGTCCCAGTTGACGGCGCCCGTTCACGAACATGACACGTACACCAGCACCGCCCAACTCAACCATATTGTAGGGAATCGAGCGAACCTCATTGGTGATAATAATCATACTAAAGATGAATAAGAGGACCGTTGCTGGCGAAAAAGTAGATGTACATCTACATACGACTAGAGAAAAGCCGAAAAGGTATATAAAGACTACTAGAAGTCAATCAGATTATTGGGTTAACTGATAATCAACTGTAATACTTTAGAACAAGAACTAAACTACAATACAAGTATGTAGGTAGATGTATGTAAAACACCTTTTATGGACATCAGACAGACAGGTCTGGATAATACCAGCACATCACATAGTCTAAAAGATAAGGCAAACTTTTGGCAACGCTTTACTCTTTACTATTTAGCACAGGAAGCCTTAAAACCTATTTCAGTCTAGATTAGCACTTTTAAAGCACTTTACTAATTTAAAAATGCAAGAAATGTAAATAGTTTGGTTTTTCGTAGTTTTATACTAAGGATGAGAAAAATTCGGATTTATTTTTTGGTGAGCTTCGCGTTCAAAAATCTAAATAGCGTTGGATATTCATCTGCTGTATAGGAGAGAACCAATTCAAAAGTGTCTATATTTTTTTGTTAGGCATAAATCAGACTAGTAGTCTAACTTATATCCGTTAAGACTAACTTGTAAAGTCTAAAATAGTAACTCGACAGTTGGTCGACGTAAAAATCTGACATAAATCTCAAACTGGATAAAATCTGTGTCGGAGCCAACCCTAATCCCAAGCTAGTTTAAGAGAAAAAATACTAGAATTCCTTTTGTGGTCCGTTCTATATTAACACAGGTCCTTGGTTTAGATTCAATGATCGGATAAAGTGTTACATGTTACGTCTTTGGCTCATGGAAACACTAAAATAAGGTACGGTCTGCAATACTAGTGGAAACCTACGAAATCCTACGAACTTAGTGGAAATGTACCATTTAAAACACTACTGTCAACTTTATTCATTCCTAATAAACATAGGTAATCAAAAAACGTCAAAGCACATGACCTGTTTATTCGGCCATATTTATTTTCTTTGGTAAAATCACTAAGGCCTCTAACAAGCCCTTGCATCGTAAAGGAGGTTACTCGATTTACACTTTGATTAGTCCCCTCACGGTACGGTGGTATGGTTGTGCACGGTCTGTTAGCAGTACGAGATCAGTTTACACATTAATTAGCACCGTTAACTGCCCATACTCAAATATCCGAGACGATTTAACAAAAAACATGAGAAACATACTCGTAAAACGTGGTCCTACATTTCCATTGTTTTGTTACGGAGTCGCTAACAAATTGGTCTTTTGAGACGAGATTTCAGTATAACATCATATTTTTTGAATAAGTAACATGCCACTTATTGTTAACTCTTTGAGGAATAATACGAGCCATGCTAATCTGTGTCTTCATCAAAACACGTCTTTAAATATTTCTAAAGTATTTCTGACTTACCTGAAAAAACTCATCAGTGGACACGCCAAACCATTCTGGCGAGTCGAGGAAGTGATGAGGGAACACTATGTGCAGCGCCCGCTGATTCTGAGACACCACTAGTCTGAAACATTACAATCATAACAATAAAATAAAGCTTACCCGACTTCATTTAAAGCGCTTTTGGAAATAGTGGCAAAAATAGAATCTTCGATTCTCCAGTGAAGCAAATCGTCAATGCCTATGTCTTGTCTAGTGTATTTTTAGTTGCGCTGAATTCCATTTCGTGTCTCGTGGACAGCACAACTTAGCATTGTTTCCAATAGACTAAATAACGAGGTAAGTAAAATAAATAGTGACGATTAGTTAACTTCTCTATATATTATTATCTCTGTCCTTGTGTCGGTTAATGTAAGGGAAGCCATTTGTTCGTTTGGAAGGTGACTAAAGCCCCATAGGGGTTGTGAATGTGGTGATTGATTTTCGTTAACTTAACACACATAAAACCTCTGCCAGTCTTTGTCCCAAAGAATTATCAAACCTATTTCTTTCGAAAATAATGTTCAAATTAGAACCGCATAACCAAGTAGCCTCAAAACGAAAAGAAGATTTTAAGCATTGTTTATTAACCTCATACAACAAAATTACATGAGCAGTGGTCTAATTAAAAAGCTCTGTGATAAAGTTCTGCGGCAGAACAACACACAATTTGTATGTTTGGTAAGTAAACATACACCGCATTAGGTAGAAAGAGACAAATTACATAATATATTCTCTTGAGGGATAGGCAGACATATAAACCCAATTTTGATGTAAGGAAACAAGAAGGTGGGTGCGTAGAAGCATAGCAGCAAATCCAAAATATTGTTGGAAATGGTAATGGCATTACGATTTATAGATAACTAGAACAAAGAGAATTTTATAATGGAAAACGATTTTTCATTAATAAAGAGTGGGCTTATTTAAGTAAGAGGAGTGTTCTACTAATAAAAAAAATCTCAATATACTTGTGATGAACCCGAAGTATTAAGGCCCGCATCCTTTCGAAGAGGGGAATCTTCCTGACAGAGTATCAATAATAATAAAACTTCCTAATAATAATGAGGTGGAATATAAAAACACGAATAATTTTATTGGTCAAGGTATGAACAGCAATGAACGTTTCCGTACCAGAGGGAAATTATGAGCAAGTACGTACACAAACTTTTAATGAGTTCAAGTTTAAATAATGGCAGTTTAATAAGCAGGGCATTATAGGAACAGCGCTAATTAAAACGTGCGGCCGCGGTGCCAAACGTCTCTACGGTCGTATAACACACAATACTGTGTGTTCGGGTGTTCATTACCTGTGCTGCGGTCGTTCACGGATTACTGCCGAAATTATTAAACTTGTTCGCTAATATTTATAGCATAGGGTACATTATTGGGGTCGTTAGTCAGGTTCTTTCATTAAAAATGAAGGATATTCAGGATTAAGTTGACAGAACAGTCCAAAGCCTCGTTTTAATGGCTTGGAGGATTTATTTTTTTGACCTACATCATGTTCCTCGCCTACGCATCAGCGAGCAAGATCACTTAAAACTGAATAAATAACTTTCGGAATCAAAGTCATAAACCGCTAAAAATAGAATCTTTCAGATCGAATAACTAAACTCAATTTCAGAAGTAATTACAACATTTCCATTCCAGTAGTCTTGGCCGTCTCTTAAAGATGAGTTTTAAACCTGTTTGCCTGGGACTAGCTAAAAGATGTAAGTAAACACAGAGTTACAAAAAAGCAATTCACAACTAATCACGAGGAATCCTCGACTTATTCCAGCTATAAACACGATAAACAAATTGCTTTTCCACGAACAAAATCGAATAAAAAGCATCTTTATTTTTTTCAATCATAAATTGTTTCCATCGCCCTTTTATGGACTTTAGGTCGTGATGCTTGACATTATGTCTTCTACACCCGAATTGAGGAAAGATAGGGCTGCCTAATCTAGATCGATTTTTCACTGCCAAAGCTTATCAAAAATTACAATCGCGACCCTCTTGGGTCAATTCCAGCTAACTTGCAGGTCTTTAGCGGTTTTAACTTGAAAATGGCATAAAAATTTGCAGAGTAGAATTATTTATATTTTTATTAACCAATCACTACATGACAGTTAAAACTTTCACTATTAATTGCAGTTTCACAAACATGATTCAAACCGGTTCGAGCAAAATATAATAACTGCAATTTGTAAAGATATTGTAGTCGCTAACCCTGAGCAGTCATGCTTCCAAAAGCTCGGTGTCGCAAAGGTCGCCTCCCTAATAGAGTTTCGCTACAATAAAGCGCTCCCACAATGCTTGCTTTCCACAAACCTTTAAAGGAACTGTGCCGTGAATTTTCCGGACATTTCAATAGTCTATTCGTTATCTCAATAAATTATTGCATTTTCGAACAACCTAGTTAAAAAGCGCTTTTAAAAATAGAACACAAGTTATTAAGGAGTTACATAATAGAAATAAATAATGCTACTAATTTCCAACATCGTTAAATCGCGCCACCCACGTCAGGTCATCAAACTGCATGGGCGGATGAACTATTACAAAATTGTTCGTTAAACAAACACTTAGTGGGATCTGAAATCGTTCACATCCTGCGAATGGCTTCATAAACACAAAGACAACTGTTCCCGTAAAAGGTCGGAACAAATAGGTCCGTATTAGAGTGTGTAAGTACCGCAAAGTAGCGCAATGTGGGACTGGCTAAGTGGCTGGAAAGAGGGCCTCGTTCAGAGTTATTGAGGGTCCCATCGATAGTGTTCCGCGAGCCGGCTGCGTTCACAACTGTTCAGAAACAGGCTGTGAAACTACGGGACTTTATTTCTAGCGGATGGATAGTCCTAAAAAGGCAATCCATTACATTCGTTCACTAGAATATCTACGCTTAGTGTCACGACATTAATCTTATATTCCTAGTCTTTACCGTGCAATGCATTTAAATCAACTGATTTAGAAGCTACATCGGCGGCATCTACGTTGGAAACATTTGCATCATTATTGCGAGTTGCGTCTTTATATTCTGAAATATTTCCTGCAGTACTCTTACAAAGCGCTGTACATCTGGCGACACTATACGAGGACTCGTAAATAAAGCTTAAAGCGCTGCAATTACTACGTCTGAGTCTGTAGCTGTACTGTATCGTTTTATAGCTACGTCACTAACGCGGGACAAGTTGTTAAACTTTATGTCTGGCCTAACTAAAAGGCGGTATGTTCAACCATGTTCATTTTCCTCACTTATTTTAACTGTTATAGGTTGTTACATGGTTAGCGGTTCAGATAATAACACCGGAAAAATAAATTCTCTATACTTGAACGACAACTTCTTCATTCTGCTAAGTGAAGTTTACCTTAAGCAAGATAGTAAATTGATAGACTATAAGTTCGCAAAAATTTCTTAACTTTCAGTTGTTCGAAACAACTCAATAAGGTAAAAAGACACCAGCGAAGTTACTTATTCTAGGTATCATGACATTTTACCGAGAATATTTTTAAACTCGCTCACTTCATGCCGTGCCGTAGCATAGAAACTAATTAGTGACTAGAAGGACCGCCCAGGTAATTACTTTAACATGAACTTTACTAAAAGAGGCTATCTACACTTAATGTTATGATCTAAGTATATTAATTATAACAAGATAGTTAAAAGAAAATATCCAATATGGACGTTACATTAACTTCTTTCAATTACGAAATACGGAGAACATTTATTTATAGCCCAAACAACGCATAATCTGAAAAACACAAAGCTAGAGATGACGAATCTAATCGCTATCTGCCACCAGACAAGTCATCTAGCAAGATTTTTTTTGCAAACAAAGTGAATCACACCCATAAACAAAGAGAAATGAAGACTCTTCAATATTCATAATTTTGACAGCTTACAGTGTTGTGTAGCCATCTGGTTAACGATGCAAATCATATTAATCTTTATTACATAACATGTAAAGCCCACATTGGACAAAACGAAAACATGACCGAGCGACCTCAAAAACGAAAAAGGAGTGAGTGGCTACTAGGCTATCATTAAACAAAACTGGTATCCAAGGCTGTCACCCTATGTGGGTTTGGTCAGATTTGATGAACACGTGCAACAAACAAACTGAATTTCTTCAGCCATAATTGTAGGTAAATGCAAATACCGCGAACACAGTAAAGCACTCAACACAAAATTATCCGCAGAGACCAACATCATATTACAACGTTTAGTTCTGTGTGTCCCTACAAAATGTACATGTTCATAATACGAGCAAAATTCGTAAAGAGGTCGACAGTTTGTGCAAGCCAGTTGCGCAATGCGCCTGCGACACTGTATACCGTGTGTCGATAATTTCCCTTTCATTGGGCGGTTCATTCACAAAAACAAGCGGACAAGTCAAGGAGAACGCCATACTTCTAAATGGTTTTTATTTTACAATAAAAACTGTAATTACATTACTGTATCAAATATCAATGTTTTAATCTTATTTAATTTGATTTTTATGGATATTTGTTTCGTGTGTACGACATAAGAGCAATAACAAGTTTGTTTCTTTATTTGGTTACTGTATTAAAATATCGGCATTTGATAGGGTAGGTAATGTTTAAACAATGATTTACGTTTCTTAACATGAAGATTCAAAACTGTAATAGAAAACCTAAGAATGACTCCACCTCTTGACTACAGAACATACCTACATAACTAAGGACCAAAATAATATAGGAACTACTAGACAAAATATAAACCAGTCTATAAATAAAACAAAATAATATTCAGACAAAAACAACTTGTTATTCTGTCAGTCCGTCAATGACATCGCAGAGCCTTGATATGTTCCGACATAAAATTGGTCATGTTATGTTAACATGTCAGCTGTATTTAACACTTTAATAAAAATGTAAAAATCACATGAGCTTATAAGTATTCTTCTTTACACCTGGCACCATGTTATGAACAGGAATATATTTGTGACTACTTGTTTGAGTAAAAATTGTGTATGAATGAGGTTTTAATATTCATTTGGAAATCATTGGCAGAGGTTTATGTTTAGCAATAGACGTCTTGAGTGATCAGGCACCACGTTTGATTTTTATATTTCAAAATTATCAGGAAATAGTTTTATACTATTTTCGATGTCTTTGTCGTCTCCTATCCAATAAGTACAAAAATCTCGAATAGAAAAACGGTAAACTATAAGTGCACTTATAGCTACCCCTTCGAGAATCACAGGAGTCACACATTACGTCATGAAATAGAAGGCATAAAAATTCGTTACCCAAATACAATACATCACATATTGATCCCTTTTCCTTACTATACGAAGGACCAATTCTCGATGAGGATTGTCCAAAGTTATTCAAGTGAAGATAGATTTGCTCTGGTTATTATTAATCATTGGAGTGAAAACGTCGGGTGAGGAATGATGTGGGAGGCCTGTTGTTGCTTTCAAATGTATTTGGTTATTTACCAATTGCGGTTAAGCTCTAAGTTCTGAGTACTAAATATGTGGAATAGATAGAATTGTAGTTGTTGGTAGGATACGAATGCCGTGATTATTGTTAAACCAACATATTTTTTAAGCTTTAAGCGAAGATAGATTTATTAATTTTTTTGGCAGAAATACGAATATTCGGCCACACACCGAGAGCAATCCGACTTCTAACTGGAGGACGAATATTGAAATCAGCATTGGTCCTATGACCGACCCTTGAAGCAGCCCTGCGTAAGGCCTCTAAACACTCAGTCACGTTTGCTAACTCTTCACAAAACTTGACAAACAACGCTTTAAATTAGCCAAAACATGAAACCAATATTATTGTAACAAGTTAAGCTTCGCAGTACCTCGTTAGATAGTTGTAAGTCTAGCCAAATGACCTAAGACCTAAGTACTAAGTCCGCAATGCAATCTAAACTTGGTGTAACTGTTGAGTGTCTTACATTATTAGTATCGACAATAGTTTGAGTAATTGGCAATTGACAAACTTTCGCAAAAGTGGTTTAGTTATGAATTTAGTTTGAGGTTTGATCAAGACTTAAATTGAAATCAGTGGTAGGCCAAACAAGTGGTACTCATTTTGTCTATGTCTTCTCTCTCCAGAAAAAGCCAAGATTCATTAAGATGAGTATAACTGTAGGTGATAGGAATACCTTGCTTGCTTGATCTAGTGTCGTATGTGATTGTCAAGTAAGTCACGGATATCCAAATGAAAGTAAACTGGGAGATTTTGAGTGCTTCCAGCAAAAAGCCGGCAAGATGAGCATAATATAACCATACATTTCATATACAATAATACCACTTAATGTATCATTATCTGTTTACTCTAATCTACGAATTACGTAATCATGAATGAATTAGCACGACAATCCACCAGTCCTCTTCAATCAGATGACAAAAAAATAAGTTTCGCTTCTCGGATCGACATTGAACCGTTACATAATAAAGAAGTAGTCGACATTGACCGACATACATCACAACCGTTGCGAATATATTAATTACTTTTTACTAGTAACACTGACTTTCGTATTCTTATTTCTGTCTGCTTTCAGAGTAGGTAATGTTAATCCAATAATAAAGCTATTATCGTTATTATTATCGTTCAAGCGAACGAGTTGGGGATCGATGACGGTAGTTTGAAAAAAAGCAACGGACAACAACACTGGTACATAATTATGTATAACAATCGAAATAACTGATTCTACTTTGGTTTCAGTTAAATTGTTAATACAGTCTAACTCTAAGTCACTAGAAAAGCTATGCAGTTATTCATTAAAAGATTATATTTAAAGTAAGATAATAACTAATCTCATATTTCACGAAGGACCAAACGGACATAAACAAAATCCAGTATAATTGGCTCGTTGCACCAGGAACCTAATTAAACTAAACATAATCAGCGAATTACATCCCACAATATCATTAATTAAATCATAGCGCGGATCTTGTTTACCGGTAATCGGACGCTTTGTAATATTAAACAATACATGAAAGTTCACACAGCTTGAAATATTATGGAAGTACATTACATCGCCGTTTTTTACCTCGTCTAGAGTATGATTCGACTACATTTACTATAAGCTCTGGTTTCTGTAGGACATGAGAAGTCAACAGACGCGAATTTTATTCCATGAAAATGGAAAATGGTCTTATTTTAAAAGCTTAACAGATTGGTGTTTGAGTACTGTCATTATAGACACAATTAAAGAACAATAGGTGTGCGGACACCGGTGTCCTCGCGGTGTTTGACAGTTTAAGGCACATTAATCTCCTTAATGTCTATTATCACTCACTGTCTATTATCACACACCCAAAAAATGCAATTAAATATTTCACTAGACTGGCCAGTCCTATTTGTGCCCACTCGAGCAATGAGAAACATATTATACCTACCTACATAGTTACAAGTTACAACAACTAAAATAAAGACTACAGACGTCTCTAAGAAGAGGTGAGTCACATATTGTTTGCTGACGAATTCTCGGTATTTTTAGGAATTGTTAACAACAAGAAAGTTATTGAATTAGTGCTCACGTCACTTTTGTTATAATTTTACACAGTTTCAGTCAAAATGTGTCGTTTAACCGTGAGTCAAATGTTTACTGAAGGATTCCGAGTATTTTTCGGAGATGTGAAGGGTATTATTTTGTCTCAGTTGTTTGAAGAATTTATTGTTTTTGTTTTACAACTTGTGCTGATGAAATAATGCTTATTGAATATGAATTTCTGTTTGTTATTTGGTTGTGTTGTAAAGAAATAGAAAGACAGATCATTTTGAGTTTTAGATTGTAGTTTTCATCCACAACCGCGTGTGTAGGTGTGCGATATGCGAATTCTAGGATGTGTGAAGTGATACCAATTACACAAAAATATATTCCGCGTGTTTGTATGTACCAAGAGCTCGTAACCAAGAGTTCGTATACCAACATCAGCAAACCATGAAAAATTCATCTCGAATCTAATGACTTTCAAAGTTTCCATGGTTTGTGTCTTCAGTGACATTTTCCTGTCAGCCATCGAGATCCTTATGGAGTATTTCCAAGTCCTGTCAGCTGTCAGAACTTCCGAATATTCTCTCTTTATGCGTGCGTCATAATGGCACGTGTTTAAAGAGTGGTAGTTTTTTAAATTACAGCCACAGATATTCTAAACAGACGTGCTAATTATATTGTCAAATATTTGTAGAAGGATTCCGGAAATTTTGAGGAATTAGGACAGAGTAACATGGCTTATTGGTCTATTTGATTTCATACTTGTTAATTGAAGTGTGTACTGTAACGAGTGGTTGATAAGTAGTGATAAATACTAATGATTACATGAAGACGATTAGAATACAATACAATAGTACGTACACAATATAATATGTTGTTTTTAAAATGCTAGAAATGACCTTGAAATTTGTAGTCTAGCTTATAATGGAGAGTTTGGAGAAGACTAAGGCACTATATGCTGTGCATAAAATTTTGCATTGTAAAAATGACGTTTTCAAGGTACCATATGGCAATATTGCCATTTTTATCAGTGTGTTGATATCAGTAGTGATCAGTGCCACATGTAACGTATCGCTCGTACTATAATGTGTAAACACGTCGTAAATGTGTTTCATATCAAACATAATATAAAGTCATTTATCATTTTACCATTTGCGTCTTTTATGGGAGGTTAGCCCACGACACTCGGGAAAGTATGATTTAGTTTCTGCGCGGTAACGTTCTCTCTAGGCACAACGGAAACCTTTAGGTTTTCAGGATACCACTTTCCATAAATTAAAACGAATAGATAACAAAGTCAATAACTATAAAGGAAATCTTTATCAGCTATAAATTCTCTGTTTTTCCACTGTTGTTCGTCGTACAATCGCGAAACCACAACATAATTGAATGACGTTATCTTAGAACATAATACAAGCACCCCAAAAGGGTCAAAGTCACCACAGAACAGTAATTAAATACTCTACCTAACTATAATCAACTTGGACATTATCACATAAACTGAGAAGCAAGTGTAATTAACCTAAAGTTGACAATATGGATGAGAAGGATGATCCCGCGGACAATGATCGAGACGTCTCCACGTCTCCAACGTCGGGTGGACGTTAACTAATGGCACTATGAATATGACATATTGTCTCATTTGTTAACGTAGTTTCCAGACTTCAAGTTGAAATTAGTAGACAAGTTGTTGAAACGTTTGAAAGATCTGTTTTGTCTTGAAGTATTTTAGACTACAATTGGAAAGGAAGACTGATTACGAATGTGCGAAGACGTCAATCAAATAATGAAATAAATATTTCAACCGAGAGTCTTCTCGTTGTTATTTTATTGTGTTGCATATCGGTAACACCTGTTGCATTTGATATTGATATTAGATTTCATGTTACATCAACGGTTGCATCAACATTATTTAACCTACTTCCTTCAAATTCAACTGTAAAATTGGAGTGTATACACTTAGAAAGATATAATGTCCACCACTTACTTGCCAGACAGCACTAAGGAGAGACTGTCCACTTTAGTGACCTTCTCGTGTGCGTACAACTCGTGGCACTTTAAGTGCCGCACGTTGCGCATGCACATTAGCACGCGACGGAACTGTCGCCTGGAGACACGCAGTGGCTTAAACAGTGCCACGTATACCTGGGGACAAGATGCAAGATTGATTTTAAGGATCATAAAAAATTAGGACCATTTTTTCATAAGACTTAATACTGTTAAGATAGATAAGTTATCTTAAATAATCCCAGAACTATAAAAAAGAGTTTCCTTGATGCATATCGAAACTGATGGTATTCTTAATTGTTTTATAATCTAAGAATACATCTGACACTAAAACGCCATAATGACCGCTAAAGAGAAATGAATACAAATATTCAACAATTCAAGGCCTCCAACAAGGTTGTGTCATAAATAAACTTATACAGGTATAATTAAAGTTGAAACCAGAGAGTAGTGCAATGATATGGAGTGACAAGTCACCAGCTCATCGCGTTCCCAGTGGCCTACTTCCGACGGTTGACTGACAGCTTGCGGACAAGATACGACGCGGATTTTTATAGGATATTTTATTTTGTTCCCTCCATGGTTTTGTAAGATTTTTCCGATAGGCCTATCATTGTAATCAGGCAATTATGTTTGATATTTCGTTTATTGAGAGTAGTTGTTGTTTATGGTGTTCTTTTAAGTGCAGTGATAGATACCGGCGCGTGACGCACATAATTTAGTCGTATGTATTTTAAAATTTTTACCTAATGAGACAAGATATGAACTCCATTAGTGAGAGAAACAAGTGCAGCTTTCGATAACCCTGATGATCGAAGATACAACCTTTAAACAGACTTTTAATTCTTAAGTTCCAATAGCAATATTTACTTTACGTAACATTAAGAATTTTCATTCATTACTATTTCCACGCGAATCTGTAACATTGAACACAATCCATTTATCAGAGTAAACAAGCGCTACCTTGACTTGTCAGCTATTTATTTATTAACGTACATAACTTCGGCAATCTTAGCAGTTAAGTTTAAACAAATATTCACTTTGCGAGTAACTATTATGAGACGCGTTCAAAGCACAGTTGCGATGAACGAGAAAAAGTAAAAAGAATTAAGGAAGGGGACATAAAATATGACACCAACGACCAGTGTTCTTTGGTGTCACATGTTGTATTTGAACGTAACTCTATCTGCTGACATAATGACGGCATTAATATTATTGTTATTCCAATAAAGTGCAGCAAACTAACAGATACTGTTTAAGTTCAAATGAGGAGCAGTATTCAAAAACAGTTGGATCATTTCAGGTATTTCTTTGACCAAATGTTTCTTGCAAACTAAAGAATTTTCTTTCAACGTTTATCGGATCAGCAAATGTCTAAACAAACACATGTGGGTGATTTTAATCAGAAAAAGTAAAAAATGCCATTTTCCCAATTAGGTAATGGATGTAAACAGATAAAAATTCATTTAAAAAAGTAATATGCATACATAGAACCTTTTAAATAAAGTTTCATGTGACACAGGTCAATATTTACAGAAGGAACGGGGTAAACACGAGCGAGGCGGCCGAGATGAATATTTTTCTGCGCGCACACGTTGCTGATACAATAGCAGCGAACAATATGGCGCCCAGAATTTCGCCATTCTCTAAAAAGGTTCCATTGTTTTGCCTCTAAACGTGGGCGGAAATGCAGCTGCGCTTTTGCTGGATTAGGCTGATTAAAACGTTCGTAACAGCACGAGGTCTCAAGGATTTAGGGCGTTTGAAACAATGGCCAGCATTAATGAGCCCTCCTCATTACTGAGAGACTTCCTGACGGTGGAATATGTTCGCTCTTTTAACGCTTAATCCAAGATCACTGAACTTCAAACAAAGTCTGTCCCAGTTTGTAACATGAGTTATTCTCGTTCTGAGTCGTAAACTCACCAAACACATGCTTAGTGTTCTGAGGGCAATTTTCAAATTCTACCGATGTCTGATGTCTGGTCTGTACATCTCGCTTTAAGATGCATTAAATACTCAACGGAGTGATTAATTAACAAAGGATATCTTTGTTTTAGTGCACATATGGTAATAGGACAATGAACATTTAGTGTGGTGCGTGGGCGTGCTGGCTCGCACGCTATAAATAGTATTCCAGGAGAAGCTGATTATTAATTCACTTCTCAGAAATTTTGGTCGACGCCTATCTGCCAATGTTATTTAATATGTACATGTGTTTTGAAAAGATGACGAAAAGGAACTGTAATTTACATGTTTGCCTTGTCTCTGTAATGTTAAATAAGAATTTATTTAGACTTATCATTATTAGCACTGCACTTATTTCAGAACACGTTTGTTTTGTTTGAGGCCTCACAAATGATGTAAGTTGCTATATATTTGACGTCATTAATTAGTTCAACAATATTATATTTTTTCAAAGATTCAAGCTTGAGATACAGAGTGATTAATGATAGCTATTGCCGATAAAAGCTAACCGCAGCTGACAAGTATGATTAAACAAAATATTGATAAACACGAAATCACCAAACTGCCAAAATTTATACGATAATCGAATTTTACATGTTAAGCTCGTCAATATTTATGTAGGTAATTAAGATAATTCTATTCATCTGTGAATTGCTCGCAGCTGCAAATAACTAATGTTTGTCTTTATTAATGAACACGATTCATTCAAATGGATATTTCAGTCTGTTAGAAATGGCCTGAATCATTATAGCGTATGACCGGGGCAATTGCGGTCACGCGTGCAAATTTCAGATTATTGTGATAACCGAAACAGGAAAAGTCCTTTAATGGAACGCTGATAGTCTGTTATGTTCGCAGTTAATATGCAACGTGACATCTAATCGATGTAAGCAGGCGGTATCGGAATACAAATTAAATGTAAACAGTGTAGGGAAGCGATCGGAGGACGCAAACACACGGGACAAACAGGAGTATTAGCCCGACCGTGTGTCCTGTGGTTCCATACTTTATGAATTTGTGTGCCAAAAAAACTCGCTTTATTTTTCTCTTTCGTTGGCTATAAGGAAATACTACACCTAACTTTTCGGAAATAGGCTAGGAACTACGAATTACATCAGGACACGAAACGTTGATCACAGATCTGATAATCATCACTTTACAGAATTTTACCTGAGCAAGACGAACGGACGGTGACGGAAATATCGGTTACAACAATTACAACTAGGTACATGAACCAGTTACCATATAAGTTTTAAATAACATTAACTATACTACGTAAAGCATGACACATAATGACATGAAATACCTTTAGGAATGTTATCATGAAACATAGGTTTGTAATGTATGCTACAATTAAACAGAGAATAAACACTCCTTTTAAGAATAAGCGTGACCTAAGCCCCGCTTCGGTTAAAAGGTAAGTACTTGAAAATTTCCTACATTTTTTGCGGTAATATTTGGGCCAAATAAATCCACTAAGCGGGCGTTCCGAAGCCCTTACTTATGTGTTGTGTTACTTATTCGCCCCGTAGGACCAGAAACTTATTTCTTAGTTCGCTTTACGGTTCACGAGGTATGAAGAGACTTAGGGGCATTTTGCTGCGGTTGTGCGAAAACAAATTTGAGATTCGCGATTGTGACCTTCTCAGTAGCATCATGGAGTTTACATTTGTGTTCAGTAAAGGGAAAAATTGTTTTATCACGCAATAGATAAAGCCTTCTCTCTTCAGGAGAAATAGGCTACAGTTATGAGATATTTAAATACCTTCTACTAGAACTTCATTTTACTTTATAAAATTCTTAAAGAAATGGTAACTTGCCAAAACAACTTTTTGGAAGAATATTTTCAACAAATAATTGCGCTGATACAAATAAATTTACATGTATTTTCTTATTTATGAGATAACATAATTAGGTACAACATTTAACGAAAAAAGTCAAGCGAAGTTCTTACTGAAGGTAAAATGAGACGTAATTTGTTACTTAGCAACGGGAGAAGCCTCAGATAAATCGATTCTAGAACATTCACAACGTAAGTAGATCTGCCATGTGATAAATTATATTTATTTCTGAAGAGGCCATGTTTTAGAAATGTGAAATAGTCCTTTCATATCTGACTGCTCACTGTGCTTACTTGGAAGAGAAGAAAAGATCCCGACTTCAGGGATTCTCAGGGGTTATATTTTATGGTTTATGGATCTGATGCATGGCATTGGAGGGTTTTGGAGACTATATTAATAAAGACGTATCATCTATTTTTTTAAGGGGGGAAAATCATCGAATGACTGCTCCCACCTGGGTGAGGTGGGAGGGAGAGTCAGACTCTTACTGACTAAAAACCACCCCGTTCCTTCTCCTGCACTTCGAGCCGGAACCCCGGTAACCCGTTAGATTATCCGCGACATCATCCAACCTTGAGGCTTTTCAATACTTAAGACGTTGTGTAAGATGCTCCCACGAAAAAAATGAATACCATAAAACACAGGTTATCAATGACAACCAAATTAGTGTTTCCAGCGGAATTGCGTACAATGGTAGGCGCGTACGCATTAATACCTCGTATATTTCCGTCTTTAATAAGGTCGAGCTAATGACTTCAGCCACAACGGTGACAAGGCTGACTCGAACCTTACTCATTTAAAATGACAATGACCAAATTTGTATGGAGCGTGGTGCCTTTTCATTTTTTCGCGGCAGTTGATCGGATGTGGATAAACTGATGCAGAATAACATTACAAACAAAAAAATGTATAGGGTCTTATATCAAAAACACAGTCCGAACCGAGTTAAATCAGTTCAAAGATGTGAAAATAGTGCTATATAATTCCTGTGATTTTGTTGATGGTGACCGTACACAACGCATATTTCTTCATTTACTTGTCAGAAATATTTTGTAATAAATGTTTATAGGTGATATCAAGGAATATAATAAAGCTTATTGTGGACTTATTTACTTTTTTTGTTTGTTATATTTATTTTTTTTGTTATAAGGCCACGGAATCAGAACAGAGTGAACCATTAACTGACCACTGCTGAAGAAAAAAAAACATTTCGTTTGATTGGCTAGCGTGTTCAATTTATATGTATACGGTTTATGGCCTATGACAGATTTCATGATCACTTTCCTCTCAGTCGAAAACCCGCAAAATACTTTACTGAGCCCTATCATG